ACTGACCTGGATCCTGCCCGGGACGCCCGTGCTGTCCATCCGACTGGCCACATTGACGGTGTTGCCCCAGATGTCGTACTGCGGGCGGCGCGCCCCGATCACACCGGCCACCACCGGCCCCACGTTGATGCCTGGAAGGCACAGCCACGGGGTTCGCGGGGAAGCTTCCCGGGACGGCGCCCCCTTCTGGATGGCAGGTTCCCGGGTCTCCTGGCCCAGTGCCCCTTCCTAAAGCTGGGCCCCATGCCTCACAGGTGTACCCCTGCAGGGTCCTGCCACGGGGGTCTGTGGGACCCTGTGCCCCTGGGCTCCCTTCCCAGAAAGAACAGGGCTCCTGGCCCGGCCGGTGTGGCCCAGTGGATAGAGCCTCGATTCCGGTCAAGGGCGCATCCCCAGGGTGTGGGCTCAGTCCCTAGTGGGGGGCGTGCAGGAGGCAGCTGATCAACGATGCTCTCTTGTCATTGATGTTTCTCTCTCCCTCTCCCTTCCTTCCTGGAATCAATAAAAATATTTAAAAAAAGAAAAGAACAGGGCTCCTGGACGAGACCCCGCGGCTGTTCACAGCCTCAGGACGCCCTGATGGGGGGTGGGGGCCCTTCGCTCGAGGCCTGGGGCCCGGCCGCCCCAGGGGGGCCGCCGCCAGCGCTGGGGCGGGTGCGGGCCGGGGCCACCTACCCACGCGGAGCACGAAGTCATTGTAGGACTGGTAGTTGATCTCGTCCAGCACATGGAACATCTCAAGGGCGAAGTCGGCCAGCGCGCCCAGGTGGGCGGAGACGCACCTCTTAGCCTGCACGTGGACGACACGGGCGTCACATTCAGGGGAAACAAGGGCAGAGGGGCAGGGGCACCCGCCGGCCAGCTGCCGGGGGCGGGACCAGCCTGTAGCCCCAGTGGGATCGGGGACCCACATCCACCAGGCAGCCTCCGCGCGGGGCCGTTCCGTGGCCCGGGAATGGCTCATCTTCTTCAGGGATTTGCAGCCCCTGCAGCCCCTGGGGGTGCTCAGCACCCCCACTGTGCAGGCAGGGGCCTGAGACAGAGGCGCCGAGGTCAGTCGGGGGTCTGCGGGCGCTGACCGCCAACCGTAACAGGCGTCCGCCTGGCGCGTCCCCCATTTCCCTCCGGGTGTGGGTCTCTGTGAGTGACGCCCTCATCGCTACCCAATGACTTTCTCTCTCTCTGATGGCTTTTGACGTCTGCTTTGTCTGAAACTGAGACAGCTGCTTGCGTTTTTTTATTCCCGCCACCACCGTGTGTCTTTCCACCTCCTTCCATTTTTAATGCATCTCCGTGGGCCTTGGTATCTTTTAAAGTGTGTTTCTTGTGGAAACCTAGCTGGGTCTCTTTTATAAGCCACTCTGTCCGTCTGTCCGTCCGTCTGTCCGTCTTCTACTTGGTGTGTTTACCATTCCCATTAGAGGGATCGCTGGGCCCCGGCCGGTCTGGCTCAGTGGACAGAGCGCCAGCCCACAGACAGAAGGGAGGGTCCTGGGTTCGATTCTGGTCAAGGGCACGTCCCTCGGTAGCAGGCTCCATCCCTGGCCCTGGTCGGGGCGTGCGGATCGGGAGGCAACCAGTCCATGTGCGTGTCTCACACCATGTTCTCCTCCTGTCTCTCCCTCTCCCTCCCACACCCTCTAACGATCAATATCCTCGGGGAGGATTGACAATAACGTAAATAAGTAAAGGGGTTGCTGGGGCAGGCGGACCAGCGTCTGCCAGATCCACGTCTGCTTTCCACCCGCTGCATTCTGTTGTTCTTCTTTCTCTTTTCCTGCCCTTTGAGGGGGGTGGGGGGGGACAACCTGTGGACTTGACTCTCAGCTCTGCCCTGGGGCGGGGACGCTCAGACCGGCCTCTGGGCCGACTCCCAGCTGGAGGCCGTGTCTGGAGAGAGCCAGGCTCTGCCCCTGCCCCTGGGCGGGGGGCAGACGAGGCCCACGGGGGGAGGAGCCGAGGGCCCAGGGCAGCGGG